GAAAAATAATGTTTCTATATAATCAGGCCAACATCCTTCACCTTACCACAGTAGGCCTAAGTCCTTTCCCCTTACCACAGCAGGCCTAAGTCCTTTCCCCTTACCACAGTAGGCCTAGGTCCTTTCCCCTTGAACTGCAATAGGTAGCTGTACCTTAAATCAGCTTGTCTGTCTATATTTCAATATTGATAAAACCATACAACTTTTTAAAGGAAAATATCAAAATAATTATGGAACAAATAGCAAACAATGCTGACCATGATCTGACAGCTACCATATATTGAAACCAATGAAACTCAGCCATTGGTCAATTATCAAGTCAATGTTCAGAATCAACCAATCAAATTCTAGCATTTTTAGAATAATTATTTTAACATTTGAGTTAATGTTACACAAGACCAACACAAAGAATGATATAACAAATTGTTCTACTGGTTGGAAAAGGTATGTGGTAACATAACTAATAACCTTTTATTTATTTTACATGAATTTAAGTTTCTACAAAATTTATTTAAGCTTGATTGTGCTGATTAAAATCACCATTGAAACCATTCCTGGAACCAACCAGTACTAAACAATGAGTATAAAAGTTTTGCTCAAGGAAACAGCAGCTTGCCCCCATCAGGGTTTAAACCCACGCTGCCAGCAATCCTTAGATTACTAGTCTGACATGTTAACCACTCGGCCACACTGCCACTTGTCCAGCTAAAATTTTGATATTGCCCGTTATAAGTTTTAAGAGATATCAAGATGGAAATTTGAAAATTGTACAATCACCAGTAACATCATAATAGCCGGGTCAAACCACACAGATTTAAACAATCTTGCCTGGGTTTACAGTGGTGACAAAGGCCTTCAATCATTTTTTGTTCCAGCCTTCTTGAATATGATCATTAGCTATATAAAAATGAAATTGAAGTAAACTTGGCACATACATGTATGTTTAAAACAATGATATATCAATATATCAACATTATAAATGATGATCAAGTCACATAATGCCATTGTCACAAACCAAAAACTTTTTCATAACTGAAAACAGTAACTTTCTACACTCATAGGAAACTTTGCTATTATGATAATTTATGAACACAAAAAACAACAGATAATAACATTTTATACCAATAATAACAGCTAAATAACACAAATACAGACAAAAAAGACCAAAAAACTTATTACAAAATTACCAAAATCCTCCAAGAAAATTACCAAAAACCTCAAAACAGTTGCATTATAATTAAATTGCGTTCTTTCATAAACTATAAGAGAGCACTTTCTAAAATAACATTAAATTATAATATCAAAATTACAGAGCAATTTTAGAAAATGGAAAATAAATAATCTTCCAGTTAACTGACATAACCTGCCAAATTTCTTGCACAAAATTGCCGAGCTTGCATTTCTGAGACCAGCCATTATCAATTTGGAGATATCAAGATGACAAAAAATCAAATTTAGTCAGAAAACTTTTATAATAGCCTTAAAAGTCAGATAGCCTGGACAAGTAAGCTGGCCGGGCTCTAAACTGGAGGCAAAACTTACCACTTTCTATTCAATTTAGCAGGTTAAGGGGAAACTACTCTTGATTATTCCAAATAAAAGCGATTATTTCCACCTATTCCATCTTTGTGAGATTATTTTCATTTGAAATAATGGTCATTATTTCCAACATTGAAGGTTAAAAATTCCAACACTACAAATTCCATTAAGGTAGTGTCTCCATATAAAACTATAAAATTGATATGCCCCAGTCATCTAGGGAAATTAAGCAACAATTACATGGTCTGAGAATTTCACAATATTTAAGGAATCCCCCGTGAACAATTAAGTTCTGATACTTGTGAGAGATAATTTATTTTTTGTTGTATTAATTACTAATGGATTTAAAGAAAGGAATAAAAAGCGTAGTATGAAAGCCCAATGGCAAATATAATTAAAAGCAATTTTATTATACATATTCTCTTGTTTACAAAATGTAATATAACCATTAAGTACAAGTTTATATTACATAATATTTAATAAAAATGGTCAACTAAATGGTGATTTTTGCCTTAAAAGTATTTTATATCATGACAACTCATATCTCATATACATGTTACACCTTTAAGGAGTGATACAGGTGACAAAAAAACATAGTTAAGAATCAGAAATAACCTTTGAGTTCTAAAAGTGACCTTGACTTTCGACCTTGGAATATGGAATTGGGACTGGAAACATTAACTCATGAGGGTTTAACATAAACATTTCTAACACATAAATTCCAAATCCATCAAAGGCTGAGATAGTTATAGGCCAGACATTACAAATGCAACATATGTAAATTTTCTTCTAGAAACATGTGTATTAAATATATAAACATGTTACTATTTCCCTATTCTGTTCTGTATGCAGTCATTTAACCTCAACATTTCATTAAAGCACATGAAATTCCCTCATTAATGTTCTCTGAAATTGCTTTTAACAAATTAATTAATTCAGTAATAAAACAAACATTAATGGAATAAATAAGGGTATTGATTAGATTTATCATTTAATTTTTGACTCATAAAGTCTATTAGCAAGAGCAACTAAGCTTATATAACTATAATGCATTTTACATGAATGCAAGAAGCTTTAAAATTGAGCTTTTTAGTAACATTTTTATAGTAATAAAGTTATCTTTACCACATTATTATATAATAAATTTTATATTCTTTTATGTAGTTTATAACTTATGAAAATTATACTCATTTTTCAAAAACTATATTTATTATAAATTAAAATAAAGAAATTGTTCATTAAAGCTTCAAAATGACGATAATTACTTTTTCAATATCTGCTTTGCATCATCTCGTCATTCATATGAATAATTTTCTCAAAACATTGATTGCTGACCGGGCTTAATTATCATGCAGTAACATTTTTTTAAATAAATTTTTTGACTGCTCCCTTTCAGTTACAAATTTTCACCACTTTGCTTTACTTACTGATGTTCACTGTATTTTTTACTATAACACTTTCAAGTTTCTCATTTTAATCAAACCATCAACTTCTTCCCTTTAGTTAATAATGTTTAACAAAATTTAGACTTAATTCCCCCCCCCCCCCCCAAAAAATATTAACTGGTCTGGTCCCCTTTTCACTCACAACTAATTTTAGGGGAAAAAATTGACTGCTACCCTTTAGTTACTAATATTTCATCAAAGTTTCGAGCACGCACCTTTAATTACTCTGTGCATTTATCTGCGACTACATGCACACAATAATAGTCTCAAGTCTTAATCTACTTGTCAAACTACAAGATGAATGATAGTGTTCCAAGTGCAGATACCAAAGCAGACTGCTGCTGTTGTAAGAAAAATGGTGTAACATATAAATGTCATAATGAACCTTGTCTTATCCTATAGTATCACATATTATAACCAGCAAATTTATGAATCAGTACCAGAAGCAGATATTTATACAATATCAGTATGACCAAAGAGATCAACAAAATTGATTCAGTACAATGATTATAATATATACAAAATACAAATCATGATGGGTTAAAGGAACCCCACTGAGGTCAAAAAGGCTAATAACATAAAAATTTGAATTTTTTACATAGATCAAGTGAATTACTTAATGAAGATAATTCTGCCAATGATAATTAAGAAATATACTCAGAATTAACTTAAAATTGATAGCTAGTTCAACTGTTAGTCAAATTTGCAGGAAAAGAATTACACTTTTCATTTTTTGGCCATTTTGTACACAAAAAAGATTACTCTGGAAAAAAACAGGGTGTAGGATTTGATTGGCAATTTGCTGACAAGTTATTGGTTCAGATCTATATCAAATTGTCCAGCAATCTCGGAAAAATATTTTCAGTTCTGTGAAGTCATAAAACCTCAGTAGAGTCCCTTTAAATGAAAAACTTTCATTATTTATTACACTAAAACAAACAGGTTTCTAAACCCTAACCCAGCTAAATTTATATAATAGACTGATCCTGCTTTGAAATTTGGACCAGTCCATTGTTAACATGAGGGGTTTAGAAACATAAAATTGCTAAAATTAAGAAACCAACAGTATACAGCCTGCATGGTTATGCAGGCCAGCCTGGATCTCTACTGCAAAGGTTTATCAAGGGTTATCATCACTCAACAGCATATATAAAATTATACTTATTTTCAAAAATTTTTAGCACCAAATAATTAGTTATATCTTTAAAAATGTTAAGGTAAAAATGACAATTATTAAGCATTCAATATAAAGTTTAAAGGAGCTTAACATTTTATTAAAATCTTTTAGACCTTGTAGAAACATGAACAAATAAAGTAACACCAAGGGAATTTCTAAATCATTATTAGATTTACGCATTTTATCAATTAGAAAAACAATACATATTAATACTGATAAAACAGCAAAACACATTGTCTAAAGTTTAAAATAGAAGACAAAGATTTTGCTTGGTAATAGAATCCGAGTTAGATTAAAAAGGTGAACATTTGTCCAAAGAAATGATTAAATATGCATGGATTGAACATAATTTAAAAAAAAAAAAATTAGACTTGCCTTTGACATTTATGTAACCTTGACCTTTGTGCTACAGTCACCTGGGTCTTGCATACAATACATTAACTCATGATGTGGTGAATACTTGTTTGAATGCATACAGGAACAACCCAAGTTATGGACAGGACATGAAAAATATACTCTAATTTTGGCCTTTGACCTCTATAAGTGACCTTGAACTTTGAGTAACTAGCCAGTGTCTTGCACCCAACAGATCATGTCATTCATTGTAAACATTTAAGGTATACTATTTCAAAATAAATCAAGGGATAATAAAATTATGGACAGGACACAAAAATTAGATTCCAGTAAAATGTATTATGAATTGTTAATAACCCTATTTAACAAAAAAAAAAATTTAACAAAAATTCACAGTGTTCTTATACATGAATATGCATGATACAAACAATTTCTATCACCAAAGTGACAAAACTCAATTTTATAATGAAGGAATTTTCAAAAAAAGTAACAGTAAAATATAACATTAAATATAACATGGTACAAAATATTGTAATAATTAAACAAATGTAATAATTTCTAGCATCAATCATTTGAGTAACACTATATAAATCACCCAATCTTAATTAACAACAGATGTTTAGTTCAGATGCAGACTTTCTTTAGATTATACAGAATTTGTTTCTGTTTGATTGTGTAGGATTAGCTATAACCGTATTGACATTGTTACTTTCAAATCTATTCCTTAAGCATTAACTAGTACTAAGTTATGAAAGTTAAGTTTCTTGCTCACGGAAACGTCTTGCCCCTGATGGGGTTTGAACCAAGAGAGCCAGCAATATTAGATTACAAAGTCCAACATGTTAATCACTCCAACACGCTCTCACTTGACCTAGTTTGTCATACTGATTTAAGAACGTTAGGACAAACCTTGACCTAGTTTGTCATATTGATTAAAGAACTTTAGGACATACCTTGACCTAGTTTGTCATATTGATTAAAGAACTTTAGGACCTACCTTGACCTAGTTTGTCATATTGATTAAAGAACTTTAGGACCTACCTTGACCTAGTTTGTCATATTGATTAAAGAACTTTAGGACATACCTTGACCTAGTTTGTCATATTGATTAAAGAACTTTAGGACATACCTTGACCTAGTTTGTCATATTGATTAAAGAACTTTAGGACCTTCCTTGACCTAGTTTGTTATATTTATTTAAGAGCTTTAGGACCTACACTGACCTAGTTTGTAATATTGATTAAAGAACTTTAGGACCTTCCTTGACCTAGTTTGTTATATTGATTTAAGTTTAGGACCTACACTGACCGACCTAGTTTGTCATATTGATTTAAGAACTTTAGGACATACCTTAACCTAGTTTGTCATATTGATTTTAGAATTTTAGGACCTGCCTTGACCTTAGTTTGTCATATTGATTGACATACCTTGACCAAGTTTGTCATATTGATTAAAGACATTTAGAACATACATATTCAGTGCCTTATGCATTTTAACAAAAAGAAGTTTAGTATATTTATGAAATGTTTCAAAATATGGGATTTTAAATATTATAAGAAATTCAAAGCAAACATAAATCAACACTGAAAATATTCTGATCAGCTTAGTCCCTTCCATCCTAATTTTGTATATTGGACTTGTCCCAGTTTCAATTCCAGACTATCCCATCAGGGATATATTTCATTATTAATAATATATCAGACTGAGCAGTAAACTGTTTTGAATAAAGCGAATGGGCCGCACAAAATTTATATAGAGTCTGGCATTGCTAGCTCTTAATGAGGAAACATAGAAGTTTGATGTTCACATACTTAAAGGGATAAGCAGTGGGACAAATTTCCCAACCTTAGAAAAAAAGCAATTCTTTTTTCTCCTTTTATCATAGACATTGGGGGTAAACATGAAGACATAGAAACTGACAAGATAAGATAAGAGTACGATGATAGATCTACAGAACTTCATTTTAACTGATAAATTATTTTCTGTTGTTTTTTTCTACATGGCAGCAACACGTATAGGTCATATGGTATCTTTCCAGCTTTACTCAGGTGCCCTTCAGTACAAAAAATTTATTTCAGGCACAAATGAGTAAAAGCATCACCATTCTGTCTCTCGGATTAAAACCCACTGGGATATAAAGGAGAAGCAACTACTAACTTGCCAAGCCATATTATGTCGGTGTCTCACTGACAGCTGATTGATTGATAATAAAGAATTATATTTATACCATCATTATGAAAAATAACATTGATTCATGTTCATAAAATCATGTAAAGTCCATTTCAATACTAAAACACTGCAAAAATCTTATGCCAGTTGGCATATATTTTTCTTATTAACAATATTTACTTGAGACAAAAGAATGCACAACATTAGACACAACCTTCATAAGAGAATAAATGAATAATTAACGAGCAAGCTGTGCAAAGAAAAAGTTACAATATTCCTCCATTATGTACTGAGAAATACTCCATATATGACCAAAACAAACAACTGTGTTCTTTATATTTTTACGAATGTACAGTAAATGTAATTGTATAATAAGATGTGTAGAAAAATGCTTTACATATTTAAGATATCACACAGATAAAAACCTGTGTTTTATTACTTTACAATACAAAGAACTGATTCAGAACATTATCTAAGGTTACAAAAAACAACAACTACAAACGTTTGATAATGAACATGAATTTAAAAATAAGGTTTTTGCAAAACAAATAATATGAACACTTATAATCATTTAACCACCTTGATAAAACATTTAACATATAAACATTGTATTGTATTAAATGCTTGAATATATATAACTTTTTAGATTTTTGGCCCGAAAACTTAAAATGGTTAGACGTGGGTTGGCGGTGGTCCGCTGGTGGATGGTTTAGCAACAACACGCGTCGCCGTCAAGTTAACAGTCAAGTTTTGTCTCCTTGGTAACACAGTATCACAGCAGTTACATTTTACCATGGAACAACAATGCCTCAGCAGTTCTCGCAAGCCACGTCTATATTCAACGCTCATTGCAGTGTACACAAAAAACTTATAAAATCCATTTCCCATGGCGATCCAAAATGTTACGAAATGTAATTCTTGCGGAATGAATTCTACGTAAAAACTACTAATACGTACTAAACACCATGGCAACCAAGTTGTGAAATAGATTACTGACACTAAAAAGTTGATTTGGTAATTCCGTGGACGTGATGAAACGTCCAGTAATACAGCTTCATACATTTTTTGTTTTTTCTTGAACCCGTGAGTGAAAAGGTATATGTCTGTGACTAACAGCACTAACAGAGGTGGAATTAAAGCTAATACTCCGGCAGTGATAAAATATGGAATTTCTGAGCCTATGTATATTGTACAAACAAACACTTCATCATAATACCGCGTGTCCTGGAAACTCAACATGGGTGGCGAACAAAAACTGACCGCGGCTATCCATGCAAAACCAATCCAACACAGTGACCTTGGTGGCGACATCATAACCTTGTATCGTTCTGGTTTACGCACTGCGACGTAATGGTCAACATTCATCCATGCTATTGCATATAATCCCGATAAAAACAACACAATTAATGTGTATGCTTGTAAGTGACATAATTTTTCGTTAATTTCCGGATAACCGAGTGAATTTATTATCAAACTGTACAGTGCAAACGGAAATATGAACAATCCAATGCACAGGTCGGAAATTGTCATTGAATACAGGTACACTCGATTAATATTCCGTAAATAATCGGTACACGCAATTACGAACAAAGTTATGACATTAGTTCCAATTGTCACGACCATTACTACAATCAGCAAAATCATTTGAACGATTAATGCCGTCTCCATTATGGTTTTTTATTTATTTTGAAAGCTTTATGTTCTACTTCGACAAATAACAACAGAGTGATTTAATCAGCTGTGAATGCTAGCAGGGAATCTTCACAACAAAAGGTTACATTTCCCTAGCTCTCCAAAGTTTTAATCCACTTTTCTCTCAGTGCCTTTAAATACAATTTTGTCTAATGGATTTCCATTAGTAGAAAAGCATCACATTTCTCCGAAACAGCAAAAAAAATATTCCAAAAACACAATACAATGTGTATTGCATAACAATATATCCATTAAACAATTTGTTTCAAATGAAGAAGCGTCTTCCAAACAGAGGTAGCGAAGGTATTTTTTTTATATAAATTAATCCAGTCTAACAAGCATCTGAGCAAACTTAATAGCATCTACATAACTCTAAAACATACCATTATTTTCACTGGAGGAATTTTGATCATGAAAGTGAAAGTTTTCGAAATAAATGATTACTTGTTGAGAATTATTGTCTTAACCATTTAATCAAGTTTTGAAGGGCTCTTCACTCTTAAGTAGGTTGAAATAAATCTCCCTGGTTTTCTTTTTTTCTTTCATTTTTTCAAGTGTTAGCAACTGGATCGTACACTATTTTGAACACAAAATTCCTTTTTTTTATTATAAACAAATAAATTCCAGAAATTTTCTCAGAAACATCAATGTATTTGTGTGCATGTGTTTTGCGTGTGGGTGGATTTGCTTAGCTAAATTATGGTCATCTTTCCGTTTCAAATAATAAATTCTGCTACCTGCCAATTAAAAACCTGATTAACTTCAATATGCAAAATTTAAATAAAAGTTATACAAAATTTTGCATATTGAATTGATAGCATTTGTAAATATCACTTTGATTATCTCCTTTACATTGCACCATTATATACTGCATTTATTTTGATATTTCATTACTTTCAATATTGCGTGTGTTCTTCCAAAAATCACTTGTATAATACAGTATTCTATATTGTATACTTTCAATATTCTTTATTTTTAATATAGTACACTTTCGATATTCTATATTTTCAATACTGTACACTTTAAATATTCTATATCTCCATTATTGTACACTTTCAATATTCTATACATTCAATATTGTACACTTTCAATATTTTATATTTTCCATATTGTACACTTTCAATATTCTATATTTTCAATATTGTATGCATATAATGTCCTCCTTCTTAAATAAGTCTAATATTCTTTATTTTCATATTTAAACAATTTCAATATTGTATGCTTTCAGTATGTTCTAATTACTTCCAAATTCTCTAATTTCAGTTATTCTATACTTAAAATATTCTACACTAGTCTTTCAATGTTCTTAAATCATACAATATTTTGTATTTTCTAAACTCTACATTCATATTATGCAAGTTTTAGATTAATTTATACCTTTTGACACTTCCAATATTCCGTAATTTCAATATTGTACAATGTCGTGTGTACTTACTACTATTTAAATTTATTCCATTTGCTTTTCAATACTGCTGGCACTATTAAATTACCTGTTTTGCTCGTAATCAACTATGATTCTATCTTATGTTCTCATTTCTGGTGACAAATTCAAAAACAGAACATCGAAAATAATTTACCGTACTGCCCACACGTTATTTTTTATCTTCAGAATGCGTCATCTAAAATCCGTTTATGCCTTCAAACATATACACCTGTTTATATATTTATATAATCAATACATCGTTACTGCCAGTATGTTATTTTATGGCAACGTTTGCAGTGAAAATCTGATTTCCAAGGTGTAAATATTATATAAGCTTTTATCATAAAACATTATGACATTCCACCAATACAAATCTATCCCAGCAATGCTCCAGAATACTGTCAAATAATTATCTGCTCCTGTTCAGCAAAAACCTTGTAATCCACAGTGCTTGTTTACTAATAAAAGTCTCGGAATAAAATATTCTTAGCTTATGTTATCTAATTCCTCCAACTCTTTTCTTCTCTCCCTATATACAAAATCCAGTGCCTTTAATTCTTAACAAAGAAACTAAATCCTTTCTCTCAGACAATTTCACCATTCTTCCTGGTGTTATGAAAAAAAAGATTTAATTCACCCCTATGTCACACATGTATAAATTACCAGACTTTTTTTATTCAATCTTAAAACAAATTCCTTCCCACTTTCTTTTTCTACATCAGCGATAACATAATACTGTGTGCGAAACACGATTCCATATATCAAGAGTTATTAGCTTTTTTTTTGTATCCCCCCTTTCACTCTCTGCGGAAATTTCTATATATATTTTTTTATAAAGAAAGAATGCTATACAAGTGAGGAGGAATCATTTCTCCTAGAGAGTTATCATACTCGTCTATCTAGTGCCATACTATTCTCACAATCAACAGTTACTTCATATATATCTGTATATATAAATCTCTGTCGCTGTCAATATTAACGTTTCTAACAGACTGTTAACAGGCTTAAATGAATCGCTCTGTCGCCTTTTTTTTTCAATATTAACCTTTACTTAGATAGATATTACATATATCAACAGTCTCCAGGTATATATATTTCTCAAAAAATATTTAACCTTTACTTAGATATACTTTACCGTTCCAGGTATTATATACAGTATATATATAAATCATATATATATTATAAATGTTGAATATTGCTAAAATATACGATTCATTTCCCAGGTATAATATACATCAACTTTCTTTAATTATTCAAATACTCTTCCATCCAAACGTATATTTTTTTGTTTCAAATACTTAAATTTCTCCTCTGTAACATATTGTCTGCTTCTGTAGCCAGGATCTAAAAATGTCACGATATTTCTGTCCACCCTCCATTCTTTACCCCTTTCCGGTATATTATTTACTCCGTTCCGGTATATTATTTACTCTGTTCCGGTATATTATTTACGTATTACCCTCCCCTAAATAAAGGTCAGTATTCAATATTCCAAATACCATTTCCTAAAACTCAAGTTCATATCAAATAGATCACTTGTCAAACATTAGTTCATCAAAGAAGCTTTATTCTGTTAGAAATATTGACCAACAATTTTCTTTTCAATATTGTAAATTTCACAGAAGTCAATAGCTTCACTTAACTAGGATATATTTTAGTGCCGTCCTCTGTTTAAATACTGCATTAAGGCTTCCTGTTTCATAAAATCATATAATACTCCCCTGTCTTTGAAATTTGTATCTAGAATATCTATCAAGTGAATGATAATAGACATCCTCTCTCAGATACACTAGCTTTTATGTTCAGCTCCGTACACTGCTTGCCTTTAAAATACTGTATTTCCATTTATGGAATATCTATATATACGCCATATATTAGCGTATACACCATATATAAACATATTAATATCCGTGGAATAACACTGTTATAGTCAATCACTGTTATAGTCAATACCTATGTTTTCTTTTTCTGATAAATAAGTGCCACATGCTTATAAGATAATTTATACATATATTTTTACTTATATTTCAAAATCGAACAAGACAAATTTTACTGCCTGTGTTCCTTTTTGTCATTGAACTCACTGTTAACTGTGAGTTTACTAACTGGTTGAAACAGAAGAATACAAAGAATTCACATGAACAAAAGATTAATATAGACAATATTTGAACTAAAATTTAACAGTTTTGAACCCATCTGGTTCTTCATCAGTGTTTATTACTTGTTAATAAAATGTAAAGCCAGTCTTCAGCTTATTATTTCAGCACTATTATTAATCCAAAAATACACTCCTTCAAGATTGTTTTCCTTTCATCAGAAACAAATGGTCAATGTTTGCTATGAAACACATTTTATTAAATCAACCTCTGCACACAAGTTATTTAGCTAGGACTTAAATAAAGTTGCTCTTTTGTTGATTAATTCCCTACAAGTTTATCGGCATATTAAACCTGACTGTTCCTAGGTGAATCTCTATGGCTAACGCTGTATCAGTTTTTTCCAATTTTCTCATTGTTTATACCAAATTCATTAAAAGGCGTAGTCCCCAGGTACGATGATGAAGACCGATCAATTTTTTTCTCTCTCTACTGATTAGCGCAATCTTCCCACACCTGCTATTTTACATAAAGTGAATGACTTAAATACATAACAAGTATTGAAATATCAAAGCATCGCAGTCTCCATTGATAGATTTAATATGAGAATGTCGGAAAACAATGAAAAACTGTCACAGTAAATGTCATAAAACTATTTTTAGAATTTAGAGATATGCGTCAATGCTCTAGTATGGAAATGGCTGTTATTGCGGAAATATTACAATTGCGAGAGAAGTCCATGTGACCAATCCTCATTGATTTAATAATACATGGTCAAATCATTCTTGCTTAATGAGGACCGAACGAATAATAATAGATCTCACGGGGGACAAATTAGGTGATAAAATTTATTCAAACCAGCACTTCAAACATTATCAATTTTATATATATTCTAATTGGTTGAAATCTCTCTTTAATTCAGATCACTAACAATGCAAAATTCAGAATTAATATCTTGATATGAATAATATTAATTAAAATATATATCTTCAGAGTTGGAATAGTTACAAATCTAATATTGCTTATAGGTATAAACCAGTGATAATATTTAAATCCTCATTATCATTAGTTGACAAACTAAGATCTTTATTTTTTTTAAAGGCTACAACAATCACAGGTTGAAGTTTCTCATAGGTCTAAATCTCTCATGAGATCATTAGAGATCATTACAAGTTGAAGAAAAAATGGAATTTTTCATTCAACCGAAATATCTCATAGTCAAAATTACTGCTCAAGCTGATACTTCTTACAGGTAAATAATTATATTATGACTTGAATCATTATGGGCTGATAAATTTCTTTCTCATTTGGGCTCAAACACTCATAAATTTTTATTTCTCACATCTTTGAACCTCTTATGAGTGATGATGAATTCCTCATAACTATGTCTCTTATGAGATGAACATCATTATGAGTTGATAAAATTCCTCATAGGTCAAATCTCTCATAGGCTTCACAACTCAAAAATAGTTCATTCATCATCAGTCATAACCCTTCATAGGTCAAATCTCTCATAGGCTTCACAAATAATATGTAGTCCATTCATTGGTCATAACCCCTCATAGGTCAAATCTCTCATAGGCTTCACAAATAATATGTAGTCCATTCATTGGTCATAACCCCTCATAGGTCAAATCTCTCATAGGCTTCACACATAATATGTAGTCCATTCATTGGTCATAACCCCTCATAGGTCAAATCTCTCATAGGCTTCACAAATCATACATAGTCTATTCATCAATGGCCATAACCCCTCATAGGATATAAAAAACCCTCATACATGTATACTCCCTATTGCTTAACAAAATTGATCAAGAGGTCATTATCATCATTATTCTGTCATGCCAATTAAATTACACTATAGGTCTTAATTCCTAAAAAAACATTATTACAGATCAAGACTTAAGACTTGTGTAAACTCGTTGCAGGTCGAAACAGTTCCTTAAAATAAATTCACCTGATATATTATTTATAAAAAGCTAAGTTATTATCAATTTTCCACAACCTTCAATCTTGTTAAGCAAACTGAACTTAATAATTCACATAATCTACCAATTTTTCATTGATGTTAATGTAAGTGTAAAAAAAACAGATCAGCTTACTCTATGTACCTGTGAGGTGCCAACTGTAAACTTCTGCCTATTGTTTACAAAAACTAATCAGTTTTGACACCTTTATTGCAATTTATTGAGAATATTTTGCTCAGATTCCTAGTGTTTGGGGTAATATAGCGCCATCTGCTTTAAATATGATAGCTCATGTTTTGAAAATGTTTACCTATTAATTTCTTGCAACTATGATTTATTGGGTTTTTTTTGGTACATAGAAAATGTTAATGTATAAATTTCTATTAAATATGATTTCATGTTTTGGTAAAAAATGTTTGCTTATTGATTTTGATTGCCTTTGATTAATTTATTTTTTGGCAC